TGATGTATGTATGGATTGTGATAAGAGTTGTATGAGCCCCTAATAAAACGATTAAAAAAAGAAATGTAAACCAGAACTCAAAATCATAAACAAGACCTGGCTTACTGCTGTCAATGGAACTGGTGGTACACCAAAACCATGGCCTCTAGTCACCCTGCAAGTCTGGAACGGAGCTCACCCCTATGGCTCAACAGGTGTATTAAGGAAGCAGTAACACTAGTGAGTTGCACGCACCTTAGAATACTCAAGCATTTGAGATCCAGGGGACAGCATGCCCAAAGACAAAGCTGAGAAGAGTTAAGGGAGGAGGAGGAATAGAAACAGCAAACAGGAAGTGGGATGAGTGATGTTACATTGTAAGAACTGGAAGCAATGAGATGAAACTATATATATGAATAGTTGAACAGTAAAACAAGAATTATTCTTTAAGCCTTCACTCAAATCACACTAAAAAATTTTTTAAAGAAAAATCTACTCTAAGGACCAGTCTCCTTAAAGACACTTAAAAAAAACAACCAAAAAGCCCTATGGCATTTATTATCTTATGATTACTAACTGGACTATAGCTTTCAGCCTAGCCTACATTTCTAACAAATTATTTTCCTAAAACTTTTCCAGGATTACATCGTTCTCTGGCAGCAAATTCATAGGTGGCTCCTAACAGCCTAGCAGTCTTAGAGTTTTAAAAAACTCTTTAGACAACATGACCCATTCTGTCTTTCCAGAATTACAAGAGGGTACCCCCCACCAAAAAAACAAACCAGAAAAAAGCTCTGCTGGGCAGAGCTTTTCCCACTAGGTGAGCATCTAGCAACTTGCTCTGAGTTAGTACGCCCCCTGGTGTCACCTGGGAAGGTTCTCGCTGGTCACAGTGAATTTTTTCATGAAAGCAGTTTCACTTGAACCTCGTTTTTTGTGATGGCTGATTTAAGAGAATAGCATGTGGCTGTGAAATTTAGTTTCCTGCTCAGGAAAATGCCACAGAAACTGTTGTGATGTTGAACACAGCATACAAGGACAGCACTATATGAAAACATCAAGTGTATGAGTGGTTTTCTCATTTCACAAAAGGTGAAATGTCAAGTGATGGCAAACCTTGTTCTGGACGTCTGTCAACTTTCTGACTAGGCAAAAATGTTGGCAAAATTCATGCACTTGTGCTCTAAGACTGATGATGGACCATTGAATAGATGGGGAAGTTACCTGGACTATCTTGGATCTCAGTTCAACAAATTTGAAAGGAAGCTTTTGGAATGAGAAGCTTCAAAATTTGTCACTGCAAAATTTGTGCCTCGGGTTCTGACTGACCAGGAAAAAGAGCGTTGAGTGGAAACATGGCGTACTTCGAAAGAACAGCTTCGAAGCAACCCAGGGTTTTTTTTCCAAGGTCATTACTGGTGACAAGACATGGTGCTATTCTTAGGACCCCAAAAGCAAACCACTGGAAGACCTCATCATCACCTCACCTAAAAAAAGCTTGTCAAGTGAAATCAAAGATCAACATGATGCTCATTTAGGGGTTTTTATGTGAGGAGCATAATGCATTTGGAGTTCATTCCACCAACTCAGACTGTTAATAAAACTTTCTATTTAGAGGTTCTGAAAAGATAGTGTAACAGTGTGCAACATAAAGGCCTGATTTGTGGCAGACGGAGGACTGGTTCTGCCACCGTGACAATGCACTTACTAATGCAGCCATTTCAGTGCACCAGTTTTTGGCAAAAAACAGCATTCCTCGCGTGTCCCTCGCACTGTACTGCCCTGACCTTGCTCTGTGCAACTTCTTTTTGTTTCTGAGAATGAAAGGGTATAGAAGAGGTGAAGATAAAAAACAAGGGAGGTGCTCTAGCCATCCAAACAGATGACTTGAAAAAATGTTTCTAAGAATGGAATCGCAGATTTGATAAATGTAATGGAGAGTACTTTGAAGGTGGTAAGTTTGTTTTGTAAAAAAA